ACTGGGTGCTAAGTTATTCGATCAACGTCGATATTTATATTGACTAACTTTGGCATAATTAAGGCTAAAACTATTGCACCTTCATCTTCCGGTAGGGTGTTATAAAAATATGTGAATCCTTTTCTTCGTGGGGTTTTTTTTTTCTTTCTACCTGCCCTTTAACAATAGAGCAGCAGAAGAAGAAGAAAAAATGTGTATATAAATATTTGTATGTATTTATTTAAAAGATATCTAAGGACAACAAAAGTTGATCATCCTTGGGGCTGTTGCTGCCATGATGAACAATTTAACAATAAGTCTAAAGTGGCCGTTCTTTTTATAGTAAAGTAGAGTGCGGTAGAGAATATCGTATCGAAGAATTGCTGGTTGAGGAAAATTGCAATAATAAAAATATATATTTTATTTATTTATTATAATATTCAAGTGTGTGTGTGTGTATATATACATATGTTGGGCTTGTATACTTTTTTTCTTTTTCTTTAGGAAAAATTATCAAAACATTTTACGAAATAATGATAAACTCAAGACAGATCCTTGAAACGCTTAAGAGCGGAAAAAATCTCCCACATAAGCGATGAGTTGTTTTGTTCGATTGTGTATGATTTCGTTTTTAAATGATATAAATATAGATATATATATGATATGATATAAATATAGATATATATATATATATATATATATATATAGAGTCAGTGTAATTGTTGTTGGTCTGAGCTGTTTATGATACTCAACACATATTAGAATTGTGAGTGCGTGTGTTTGTTGTTGTATGTTTTCCACTTGGCTGACCATTTTTGGAAGAGTTTTGCCAACAAATTGCTTCGTTAATTTATGTTGTAACATTTTCATATCTTCTGTTCTATTGTGTGATGACCGTTTTTTTCAATGCAATTAAATTTTAAATCGAATAAAAGTATAATTCCAAGCAACTTGTGTGGTTTCTCTCTTCTTCACTTAATTTTCATCCTTTTCGAGTTCATCTGCAAAAATCACACCTTTAATTGCTCTAATTGTTGTTGTGGTTGTGGTGGTTTTATATTTATCGTTTTTATTTACTTCTTGTTTTTTTTTTTTTGGTTTTTTTTTTTGAAGGAACAAGGAAAGCGTTAAACTATCTTTCAAACAGAAGACAAAAGACAAAAGAAATGCGAAACATCTTATAAACGATTATGACAAAGGAAAAAAGTACCAAATAGTCGTTTGTTTGTTGGTTTATTTGTTTGCGTTTAAAATGTGTTTTTAATAACTAACGGCTTAAAAAAATTCACGCACACAAAGCTTCATTTTTATTAAAAATTATTTACACCGCGTGAAGACCCTTCAAGGTACAGAGAACTTAATATCACGGGAGGAGCAAACTGAGAGTTCACAGATAACATGGATGGATGGATGGATGGATGGATGGATGGATGCGCGTGTTGCGGGGAACTCTGTGAACTTTCCTTTTACATATTTTGATAGGTGATGGATGTTAGGAAAACCTTCATTTTTTCCTTTTTTTTTTTGTTTTTGTGAAATTTTAGCACTGCGTGAAAGGATTCCTTGCAACGCATATAAATTAATTATGCTAAAAATTTTTCGTACGTTTGGCATCGTTTTAGGCTTCTGTCAGTTTTCCATTCCGCTACTAACTAAAACGATATACTAATTTCGTTTGCGTGCTTGTAGCTTCCCTAGAAGACTCTTCAAGCGTAAGCACAGCCATGAATACAAAAATAGCACTTCTTTCATCATGAGAATGAACATAAAGACTTTTCCATGGAGAGTTGGTTCACATTTGAATTGATGAGATTGATATCTTGGATTGATTTGTTTATATATATTCTATACATATGTATATCCACCGAGGGTACGCTTCAACCTAAGGTTAAGATTTATAAAACAAAATGAATAAAATGTTCTCCTAAAATGTGGCTTCGATTGTGTATAAAAATGTTTTAAATATTTCATTAATAAAATATAAAACACACGAAAGTTCCGTGGGTTTGAAAAAATTCTTTATATGTATATCATAATTATATTCTCGATAGGGTTTTACAATTTTGAGTCGAATTAATTGCTTGTGCAAGCGACGTCAGATCGCATACCAAAATTAAAAAAATATAATGCAAAGGTGAAATTTAGCTTAAATTCTTACTATAGGTCGGTCCACTTTCAAAGTTAAGAAAATAAGAAAAAAAAAAAAAAAACGAAAAAAATGTAGTCAGTAATATAAGCATAAGGTGGCATATAATGAGATATCAAAAGTCAAACTTCAACGTAAAACAGGAACCATATATGGTGTAAAAACAATGGCGATCTGCGATTCGACAAACCTACTATTGACGGAAAATTCCGCAATTTGTATAAACTTGTGTTTCGCTTGAAATGTTGGGTATACGAGATTCGCGCTGAGGTAGCTAAAGCGTTTTCACTCATTTAATTTTATTCGCTTAAAGTACATATCCCAAGCAAATAGGGAATACATCCACAACCCAGGCACACCATTATTTTCGAATTGTAGAGAATTTTATTAAAATTAATTTTCGGTGAAAGCGCAACAAATTCCTTTAATTTCGCAAACATTTTTACGGAGAATTAATTAAATAAAAACGATGATAACTTCAGTTCCAGTTCGCTTTACATTAATTTACGCTAATACGGATGAAAAATAGTAAGAAGTGATTTGGAAGTCCAAAGTTTAAAACGCATTTCCCGGGTCATCGAAACTGTGAATCATGTCTTGGATTTGGTTGATTTACCTCCAATTTCAGAAAAAGAAATAGGAAGCATTCATTACTTTCACTATATGGAAGCATATTGAGCGCCTTAAGTCTAATATGTATGCGAAATAATATGTAGTACGCCTTGACTTGTCTTTGGATATGTCATAGATCCAGTGAAAAGCAAATATAAAGTTCAGCGAATATGCTGCATTTAGCTGAATGCAACGCTGCACTTAGCGATTGTGCTGCACCTAACTGCATGCAGCGAATGTGCTGCATAACAGCATGTTTTACTCATGCTGTTAGGAATAAGCTGGAATTAAAATATTATAGCTAATTATGGGAGTATTAGTAAATCGATCACGACTATTTTTACACCCAAAGCATGCAGGGATCGAAGGTGTGAAACGAAAATTTTAGAAAACTTTTCGCGTTTTTGGGGTAGTTTCGGTTTTTCCTGTTTTGTGTGCGTGTGTGTGAACATATCACGCCCATTTTTTAAACAGATGTACCTAATCGATCAGGAAATGTTTGTGCCAAATTTTACTTTGATATCTTTATTTTTGCAACTGTGACGACACACAAATCTTACCCACCAAACTGACTGATTTCCGTAAGAATAACAATATGAAAATGGGCGTAATCCAGAAAAAAAGTACAGATATATATATTTGCTACATCAGATCATTAAAAGCTGATATGGATTATCTTCATCGTTATGTGGAGTTTTGTGTTTGAAATCATAAACCAGCCAGTTTGACGGGCGCCGTAAACCTAATATCGAAAAAAGTGATCAGAAACTAAGCAAACTTTAGACTAGCTAACTGAAAATGGGACCCTGTATGAAGGTCGAAATATTTGAAGCGGATTCAGCTTCCAGCTTACGCTGTCAAATCCTAAATACTATTAGATGTCATACGGTTAACGTGCCTTAATTTACATTGTGAGCCATTAAGTTCTGAGGTCCTATTCCTTTTCAAACTGTAGGTTTAAGTAGATGGTATTAAATCCTAAAATATTTTCTGGTTCCAATCCAACTGAGTCCAGTACAGCGATTGGCTAACCGCCATTATACACAGATACGCAAAATTGTTGAATGTAGCCAGAAGGCATATAGCTGATGAACAACGTAGCTAAATTTAAACAGAAATAGTTCCGGGTTAAGCATAGTAAACAAACGATATTATTTACTGTAGTAGACAGTGGAATCTGAGGATAATTAATCATTGGACTGCTAAGTTAAGAGTTAATTGCGTGCAAGAAGATATACAGTAAGGGAGCAAGATCGATAAAGGAAGTAATCGAATGAGCATAAAATTGTATATGAGGAGAACGCCGTGCGGAAGCAATATCATTTTTTAGACCAATGCTATTTAATGCTAAGCTGGTTGATAAGTGAAGTGATTAGATGCGAACAGAGATACATTTTAGTTGAAAGCAGTTAGGATGTAGTATTAATTATTACACAGACTGTTTAACCTCACGTTGACGAGCTGTGGGGCTGATAAGCCAAATCTTTGAAACTTATGGTAAACATTGTAAGGGAATATGGTAGATAATCAGTATTATTTTTGAATCTAAGCTTTTTAATCCTAGGTTGAGCGGCTACAAGATAAGCAAAGCCGTCAGAGAGTTGAAGATGTTTTGAAATAATAAAAACTCCCAGGTGCCTAGGAGTCAAATATTCAATTCTAGTTTAGCTCGTAGCCAGCGATTCGGTGGAACGGCTGACATACGCAGCAGCATCTAATCTTTGAGAAAATTGACAAAAAAAAGAAGGAAATTAGATAAAATTTTGATTTTTATTATTACGTTTGAGATTCCGTCAACGAGTCATTTTTCATTTATCTAAAATGCCATCATTGAACATCGGGGCCTTCTCTCTTAGATTCTAATCGAAATTATGACACCGCGACCTCGTCTATTTCTCAAATACTCTATATATATATATATTTCTCAAATACTCTCTAATTTCAATCGTTATCACATTCTATTCAGCAACTAGTTGCCTTTCAAACATCAAACTAATGCATGGCATCCGTCATTTTAGATGAATTCATTTATTTTGTGAATTTCGTGAATTATTATTGAAATTATGATAATAATGAAATCGCTTTGCTAGATAAGAGCTTATAAAGAATTTATTTTTACTTTTCCAACTATATACTAATTTTTAAAGCATATTTGATATGAAAGAGTTTTTGACAAAGCATTCACTGATTTATTTGCAGAATATTTCCGTTGAGATGTTCAAACGAAACCTTATGCAATTGAACAGTTAAATGGATGAATGTTTTTTTTTTTTTTTTTTTTTTTTTTGCGGAAAGGAAGACAAAGTGAGAAAGAGTTGGAGATGGCCGAGAACTGAGGTAAGTGTCTGAAACGAAATATATGGGGGGAAAAAAATAGTGAAAATGAAAATAAATTGATTTCGCTTGCAAGTGACTTGACCATGATGATGAACATTGTCGGTTGGTTGGCATTTTTGTTTTCGGTCAATTGTTAAGGATCACTCACAGAAATCGAAGAAATAAGCAAAACAAAAAAAAAAAAAAAAAAAGGTTAAATATGTTTTTTTTTAAAAAAATTTAACAGAAAATTTAGAACAATTTTTTTTTGGGTTTTTTTTTTTTTTTTTTTTTTTTTTTTTTCTTTTCTCGAGAGAGTTTAAAAACTTTAAGTCATTGTTACTGGCTATTGGGTACTATATCCAACTTTAGTTACTTCTTGTACTTGAACGAAAATACACAGATTTCTATAAAAGTTTTATACATATTCGAATAGAATTCTGGATGTGCACATACATCCTTGAGAAATGGTTCAATTGGAAAACACATAAATGCTACTGCTTGCACTTGTAAAGTTTGAAAAAAAAAAAAAAAAAAAAATTGTACACAAGTGGACAAAGTAAGTCAGGACAGCCATCTGTGGCATGATGGTGGAGATGAAAGGGGGGAGAAGAAGAAGTGAACGTTACCAATTTATGATTTGATGTTTTGTTTAATATTTTAATGGTCAGTGTTTTTACTTCGTTTCAATCTCTCAAGTACTTTCAACTCACTTGTTATATATAAATGATGCCGAGTATTTTTTTTATTTTTTTTACTTTGCATGGCATAGCATTCACTGCAAACGTATACAAACACTTTTGCGCAAATATATATATATATATATATATATATATGATAAATATATGCATATGCTTGTATAAATGTGTTTACATTCGTGGATATGTATGTAAAGATTGGAACGTTGGCCATTATACTATTCTCTCTTTTTTTAATTTTTTTTGCGAGCAATTTTCACAGTAGCCAGTGTTTTCAACATATCTTTTATTTGTTTACTACATATACATATATATCTATATCTACATATACATATATATCTATATATATATATACATATATATATATATATAGATATATATGTATATATAGGTAACTAACTACTCCAGTGAATTTGTATAATAAATACTGTGTTTTTATTAACAATCTGTATATGTGGGCGTAAGAAGTGGAAAGAGATTTTCAAGAGCGTGCACGGGGAGTGCAGGCTTTTCGTTATTCACTTGCCAGGAGTCTATAGTGCTTTGTAACATTTGATATTTTAATCGAAATATTCTAAAAATCATTTTAAAACAGTTCTTTTTTCCCTATCCCCGACTACGTCATTCCAAAATGTGTAATAAATTTATCTTTCCGTTTGTAACTCCGAAAAGCGCATATATAAGATTTCAGAAAAGCCGAATCCGTTCATATTTGATAACTCTTTATAGTTTAACAAATTGGATTAAGAGGATGTGCTTAGTTAGGTCCAAATGGTGAGATGTAGTCATTAGCTACTCTCCCTTACACGATGGGTTCACGATGGATGTGAAGGTTTCACATTGAGGGCACAATGTTGACCTTAGCAAGATGCTGATGGCGATTTAAATTCATCTTAAGCTAAGCCTAACACTTCAACACACTCGAAAAGAATTTACCTGTGAATGCGTTGTGACGAGATAATTTCTTCCGTTGATAGCTCTTTCTCGCTTTCGGCTATTTTTGTGTCTCCGACTAATGTCCAATTCATTTCCCAACCTTACTTTTAAATTTAATCCCTCCATTAGGCCCCTAAAATGCTTCTTTTCAACATGCTACAGTATTACCTGAACAGGCAGCCCTTCCCCTAAAGAGACAACAAGCAGCTCATGATTTTCGTCAATCATAATCTAAGTGTGGTTTGAAGGTTGTCGGTCTGTCGATTCTGCTTTCTATCGACTGAAGTGATCCCGTGAATATTCAAGAGTGGCCATAAGTTTTTCTAAGAGCTCGAGTTCTTATAACAAAAGGTAACAAAAGACCCAAGTTAAGCTATTTAAAACTTTAACCACATTGTTCTCAAACCTCGGATTTTCGAATTTTCCGCATTTTCTGGCGCTTCCAATCTTCTCTAACATTTGTCGTTAAATTTCGCATCCAACTTCACCGAAATAGTCCCTGATAAAACGCGTACGGGCTTTTCAACTGGTTCACTTCAAGTTAAGGCGGATTTTCACAGATCTTTTGAAAACAAATTTTTTTCTTTATTCTCAAAGAGTCCCACGGGTTTCATTATTTTCGTAGTTCTTTGTTTTAATAAGAAATTGTCACCTCCCTCAGAGTAGGGCCAAAGGGGTTGCTTTTTTGGCAAAGGTTAATGTGCCACAATTTATAAAAAAAAAGAAAAAAGTAAAAATATTTACCATAACAGACGCACAAACATTTACCAAAAAAATGGTTTCCATAGATTGATCAATCCTATGTAAATAGTTTCTTGAAAATTATTTCTCATTTCATGCGCACAATGCCTGAGTCAGAGCCTGCGTCAGAGCAATTTATTTCAACAAAGGAACCTTCTTGACGCACCTAATGAATATAATAGGAGATGTCGACGACACATATGAATTGCATAGAAGACGTTCGGGCATACCCATGTTTCATAACACCAATCGGTCCAGATTCATTTTCTGATGGGCTTAAGCATCTGTCCCTATACAGCTTGCTTTTGATAATTTTTGTTACCTATCGATCGCAATTTTGAAGCTTTCAGGCTTAGTGGCGAACGCTATCGAAAAAATGCTTTATTCATGATCACTCTTCGCATAGTTGGAATTTGAAAAAGTCGTTATGAATTTACAAAAAGGCTATAGGGATCTCAAAACCGTTGATCCAGTTATAATGGTTTAACTTGTTGTATGCATTTTAGATTTCATGAATTTAAGCATTGGAGCCACAGACACATAAACATGCCGAGAGACAAAAAAATCGACTGAGACGAGACGTTTGCATTGATTATATATTTATATGATTACTTAAAACGATATGATAAACTAAATATATCGTCGTTTTGCGATATTAATAAGCTATCGTAACGTAAAGTTATGGGCTTGGAGAGGGAGATTTACGCGTTAGAAATTAATTTTTCAAAAATTAAAAGCAAATCTAAAAATTGCGTTAAAATGTACCGCATATAATTTCTTGTTTTCCAAAACCCATCCATCCCATTGAATGCTAGACTATTGCTCTTGCAATTACTCTTGGGTTAATTGAGCGCAATTCATTAAAAAAGAAAGTATGTTTTGTAAATAATAAAAAATTAACAACCGCAAGTGGCAAATTATGAAAAGATTTCCACTGTATATGTATGCCTGCGTCTTTCGTGTGCCGTTTTTTTATACTGTAAAGCAAAAAAAAAAAGAAAAAAAAAGAGAAAGAAATCTTCAATACACAAAGATTATGGGATGAATTTCAACAACACAAAAAGAATAAGCAAACGTACGTAATTCATGTTAATTGCCACGCACTTCATCGTACTGTTAAGAATTTGTACAACTTTACAAGTATTAACTGGTCTGCCGCTGGACAGATGCCAGTAAAACCACAGAAACGACCTCTTCAGCATCAGTTTCAACATCAGCCTCAGCCTCAGCTTTAGCTCCATACTAACGGCCATGTAGAGGGCGAGAAAGACAGACAGAGTGAGAGAGTGATAGAGAGTGAGAGGAGAAAGGAAAAACGAACTGATGAAAAGTGTGGCGAAAAAATGTTTGTGTGCGCGTTTCGTTTTAATTTAGCGGTGCTAATGCTCTTTGAGTTGACCATACGTTCGCCGCTTGTTAAACGGTTCCCAGAACGCGTTAATAACACTCTCCCCACTTGCTCTTTACATACAGTTTGCAATAGACTGCCCATTACAGCCTGCATAACATACAACACACAATTCAAACTTATACATAAACACATTTCGCTATATAATTACCATTTTGTTTTATTTTTCCATTTCCCTGCGTATGTCGGTCTGCTTACGTGGTGTACGCGTTTATATGGCTCTATGTACATATATATATGTATATAGGAGGATTATTTTGCAATTAAATGCATTTTCAGAGTTTTCACATTTAATTATATTTATTTATATATGTATTTATATATATATATATATATATATTTCCTTTTTTTTTTTACATTCGTTTATTTATTATTTCTTTCTTCTTTTATTTTTTCCATGATTGCCTTGAATATAAAATTTGCGCTTTATTGCACAGAACGTAATAAGCGCCACTTGGCATTTGTATATAAGACCTCCGCTTGCTATATATATACATATATATATATGCGTGGGTGGGTGCGTGCGTTACTATGTGCGTGTTTGTGTGTATGTGTGTGTATTTATTTATAAATAAAAAGTGATGGCGACATAAATAAGAAGGGAACAAGAGATACAAGCGCCCTAATTGCGTTTAATTAAAATCTCTTTGGACAATAATGATTACTTCTCTCATCTTGTAGGCCCGTTCATGACTACCTCGGCGACGGTTTGCGCCCACTGCCAAACTTATACGTTTCTATTATTATTATTATTATTATTATATATACCTTTAGTTAGTTAAAGTTTCAAGGAATTTTCTCTACGCTTATAAGAAATATCTAAAGGCGGATTCTTTGTGCTTTTCTTCTTCCTCCACCTTCCTCCCGTTTTGGGCCGAGAATATTGGGTTTTCTGTGTGTGCAGCTTAGTAGAAATACATAAAAAGCAAAAATGTTTCTTAAACTTTCTTATTGAGTTTTTTCTGATAACATTTTCTTAAGCATTTTCCGTTTTTCTTCATTTCACTACAATTGTAGTAGTAGTTGCTGAGCATAAAAAAACTTTTTTACTTAACTATGCATAAAGATGTATATACATGTGTACATATATATATATATATATATATATATATCTTCATATAAACACACATCTTCGAATGTTCTTGGGTTGAAAAGAAAATTCTGCTGCACGATTAAAGAAAATTTTTAAAGAAAATTAAAGCCTTTATTACATACGTAAATATGTTCTTGTTTCGTAT